AGTTTTAATGAAATTTACTACATAATAATATCTTTTTTATTGTGTAAGTCAACAAATACACTAAGTAAATTTGAAATTGGTAGCATCACCTGCACAAAAAGAAGATAAACTACTCATTGGTAGTAGTGTTGTCCAAATATGAGACCAAGACTCGTCTTTGTCTTGTGTAATAAGTCTTGGTCATGGTCTCGCGCAAGAGTCTTGAAACAGTCTTGCAGTTACCTTTTAGCTTATTACTATAGAGCTATTACTGTATTTTTTTTTTCAAACAGGAGTAATCTCGAATGAAAAATTATAAGGGTTAAATATAAAAGTATTTAGGTTATACCAATTCATATAGTAACTAATATTGCCAAGTATTAGTAATATTTGTCTCCACAAAAACGATTTTGTTTTACCAGTCTTGGTCTTGTCCTTGCAACAGTTAGTCGGTTTCAATCTTGGTGATTTTATGCAACACTAATTGGTAGCACTCCCATTATAGTTCTATATTAGAAGGTACCGAGGCCATCTTATTTTCAGACGCCTCGAGGGTTATCAAGAATAGAAGAGGAAGCAAGGTTAGAAACAAGAGGGTTCGGATAGTTCAGAAGTTTATTATGGAAGGACAGCTAGCTGAATTGGGCTAATTTGGACACATAAGAAACATTAAGTTCATTATATATGATTTTATTAGTGACAAAGTAAGCAGCATTGAAGATTTTACGAAGGATTTTGGATTGTAAGGATTGGATACGAGAGGAATTCGATTTCTTAATGGAGCCCCAAAGCTCAACTCCGTATGTTTAAAAAGTTGGCCTATACGACATCATTGTTTTGACATGTTGGAGATGAAAGTAACGCTAAACAGCCCATTGGTTTTTAAGGACAAATTTTTGTCTCAATTTTTTTTATCTAAGTATCTAACGATTCAAGTGGAAAGGAAATAGACATTCTTATGTTTTTAGTATCTAATTAAATAGACAAAATTTGCCGATCTCACCGATGAGATTAAGCTATTCATTTTGGGCGGATGTTAATAATTTGATAAAAAGAGGGCTCTGTACCACGGACTATCGTAGATAAAATAATTTATTCGTTACAATAAATCTCTGTATATTGCTTGTACAACTATTTTGAGTTATGGGACAAATCTAGAGATGTCTTTTATTGTCGAGGGCATTGCTCCTTGAAACAAATAATCCATCAAGATAAGAGATCCTTTGACGTATTGAGAGGAAATATTTTCTAGAGCGGTTAGATAAGCCATTCCGAAATATTCAGAATATGAGCTTTGAGTGTCGAATACGATCAATATTGGTTTTATTCTTATATACAACATCGCCTACCGACCGACCATGAACCCAGATCTGCAAGATGAGCCAAAACATTATATCCCTACTTTTAGTTTCCTTCTATCCGTTGATATCTATTTTATTAATCTTCTAAACTCCTAGTAAATTTTTAAGAATTCGATACATTAACAAGCTTATACTCTATAAATCATTTTCGAAAAAAGCCAGCTAAGTCAGCAAAACATGGCAAATTCAGGTTAACAACTCTTCTGTGAAGAAATAAAGTGAGAGAAAAATCCGTACTGATTCTTCTTCTTTTGGTTTTTGTAATCAACAAATTGACGTATTAAAAATATATATATTTTAAATTTTTTGTTATAGATAAGAAAATACAAATTATCTATATGCTTTATTATTTTCCTACCTATACTAGGTAAGGAAAGTATTGCAATCGGGTCAAATTTCCGACATGCGGTTTTTGACGGATTTATACGTTCCACAGCCCCCGAGTCCGAAAAACATATTTTTAGCCATTGGTCTGTCTGTCTGTGCCAAGATTTTCTCGGAAAGTACTGAACCGATTTTGTTGCTTCTTTTTATATTTTGTAGGGTTTTGACTACTGATGCCTGTGACAGAAATTCAGTGCTCCATGCGCAATAGCTTGCGCGCAATAAATGAAAAACATGTATTTCTATAGTCTGTAGCGCAAAAACGGCTCTAACGATTTTGATGAAACTTTCCTATAATGTTCTAATCATTGTATTTTCAATTTCAAATTCAATCTTCACTATTTCTTCTACTTTTAACAGAAATTATTCTTTATGAACATATGTAAAGATGTAAAAACTTTTCTGAAATAGGTAGAAAAGTCGTGTGAATGGACACACCACATATTTTTTCACATTATTAATAAAATATGATAACTGTCATTCTTTTTTCCGTTGGGTTTACAGACATAATAGACTCCGCTGCATGAAACTCCCTTCTCTTCCGTTATATAATTTCTGCAGGTTTCTAGTTTCTATCAGTTATGTTTAACACAAAATATTAAAATATGCAAGTAGCTAGAAAAGAGACTCACTGATAATAAATAGAAAAATCCAAATTATAAAGCCAGGAATACAGGAAATACAACCTGAACTAAAAAAAAATGAAAGGTTGCTATTGAAATGTCATCTAGTCAGCCAAATATATACTGAAGGAAATCAAAGGTTCTATTTATTAACACAGCTAAGAAAGGTTATGTTGAACAGCTGATTAGCAGAAATACAAGGAAAAAAATATGTAGAAATAAAATTTAATTCTACAAAACGTGTTAAATTAAATAAACCAAATGAAAAAAAAAAATAAACAAACAATTAAATTCAAAATTACCTTCAAACTTTTCCTTTGGATATTTTACTTATCACGTTTTGAAGAATTATATTTTAGTATTACGTATTTTTTCCCTTTGTATTCCTTCTAATCAATTGTTCAAAATAACGTTCCTTAGTAGTTTTAGTAGAACCTTCTTTTTTCTTCAATCGCAACATTACATTTTCTTAACATGTTCAGTTTCTTTTTTTCATTTTGCATATATATGATCTTGGTATGGCTCTCTTTATGATGACTGAATTGGCAAAACGTTGGCTGATGAGAAAATATAAATTATAAAGCGATATGTATCTAACACACAGGTGATAACTGTATGTTAGAGACATCGCTTTATAATTTAGATTTTCTCATTTATAACATTTAAGAAACATAATTTAAAGTATAAAGACCTCCTGGAATGCTGATGTCTTGGTAGCTGTAAGTAGTTAGTTGGTGTAAAAGTTTGGCAACGCAAGAGTAACCAATCAAAATGAATTCCTAAATACATAGCTAGGCATATTTTCAGTGTATATTGCGAAAGCTATAGCAGTCAAGAAAGCTGTACAATATATAATGAAAACATGAGTTTCCTGACGGCTTTGAAAAACTAATAATGAAACAAAAATTGTAAATATCAAGAATAGGCTAAAGTCAATTCTTTCAATTGAACGATTCAAACGAACAAACTATCAATGTTTTGTGGATAGTTAGCCATTTCGATAACCCAGGCTATGAAAAAATTAATTGTGCAGCTACCAAGGAAAGAGCAAACATTTATTCTAAAGTCAATAAGATTGAACTACCTAGTCCTGTCATAAATACTGTTACAGGGAGAGAGTAAAACAGAAAATAAATTACTCAAAATGTCCCCCATTTGCTTAGACACGGGCATTTAATCTTCGTGGCCAGTCATCAATAGCAGAGCGCAGCACATCTTGAGGAAAGCGCTCAACGGACCAGAGATTGTTTGAGGTTTTCCAAGTTAAAGTGTGCTCTGTTGCATGCCATTCTCTCCAGTTGATCAAAGCCGACAATCTAGTGGGTTGAGATCATTGCTTGCTGAGGGCCAATCCGTGACCACCCGAGACGATCTCTGAAATGTTCTTATGCAGCCACTGCGAAATCCTGCTGAAAAACTCAATGACTTCCAGAAAACAGGATATTATTTATAGGCTTGACAACAGCTTCCGATATACAGTCCTGATTGTTTTTAGCGGCTGTTTTAACTCCTTTTTCACAAAAATGGAGCTTTGTGGTGCCATCAAAGTAAACTCCTCACCAAATTATCAATGAGGAAGGTGGATGACCTCTTTCCACTCTTCCAATGGCTTCCTGGGCTTCTTGAGCGTAAATGAGAGTTGTGTGCGTACACACGATCATTTTAGCGATTAAATTTTTCTTCAATTGTAAAAGTCTTCTCATCGCTAAACAAAAAACTTTCGATGACGACCACAGGTGTAACGGCCAAGGAGCACTTTGGATCTATCCACTCTAATTTTTTTTTATGGAAGTGGTTAGCCATTGTCCTTCCATTCTTCGAAATTCACCCATACTAAGGTCACTTTCTATTATGTGAGACATTGATCTGACAGAGATTTGCATTTCCCGAGACATGATTAGTTGTTTTCGAATGGAACTTCTTCTGATTCGGGCAGCCACTGCTCTCACTGCATTAGCCGTTCTCACAGCCATAGGGCCTTATTATATCTATTTATAATGCGGTAAACGAACATACGGCTGACACCAAAAGGTTTCAATGTGTTCTAACCTACATTTTCCAACTTTCTATAAGGCGATCACTAGCTGTTGTTTTCTTTATCACCCCGCTCCATGTTAAATGAACGAAAGAAAAATAAAAACTGATTGGGATTATTATCCTGATAATTAAAGAAAATAATCTGTTAGAGGTAAGGATTATCTAAATCCCAAAGATGTAAAAAATGTTCAACTTTTTTTGCAATATTTATGGCAGAAGTAGGTAGGTTTCGGCGGACGATTGAGCGATTGTTTTTTCTTCTTTTAACGCCTAATCGTATTTTTCAATCTTTCTTAACTTTTACTATCCGGACATCCCGCAGAGCTGTGCACACGCGTTAGACCGTTCGGCCACCCCGCCCCCTATTGGACGGATGATATAAGATAAAACAAACAAAAATATAATTTAAAAATTTGTAGATTATATACAATTACACATCCTACAGTCTGTTTTATGCTTTCACTTGTCTTTTGATATAAAACGTTTCATTTAGAAAATCCATTACTTTATCGAAATGTGCCCCTTTCAAAAATTCAAAACTACGTCAAAATTTGTCCCCCTAAAAAAAGTTGATGCCTCCTTCATATAACTAATAATTAGCAAATGAAAGACGAGTCTTGGAGGGAAAAAACTGTCAAAAGAACTTTATTTTTAACAAAAAAATTTAGCAATATAGTCACCCAATGTCTTTTTTGAACGTCTTGGATATTTTGTCTTTCAGATCTTCTTCCTGTAATAAAAAAGGTAATTAGTAAAATATTTTTTTAAATTAGTTGAATAATAAGTTGAATTATTTTTAAACATAAATTAATCAATTAATTGTTTGCTAATTGATTAAAAAACTTTAAACTACGTTGAACTTGGCTAAAAAGTTAAACTATCCTAAATATGTATATGTTTATTACGTACATTTTTATATATTATCATACACCTACTAGAAAGCTTCGTTAAATGTAATAAATGACCAATTCTTTGTCAAAACAAAATGTATCTATAAATGTCAGATTTTCGCATTGGTGTATGGAATTACAAACATATTGAAGTAGTAGCAACTACTTCGTTGTTTAGAGGAATATCCAATGTCAATTTTTAAAAAATCTCCAGTCAATGTCAGGATTGGTCCTTCCTGGTCATTGGTATATCAAATCCTCACTGAATATGGGAACGTCTGGACAAAACATTCATGGCATTGGAAACTTATAACAAATGTGCTATCAATATGATTGGTTTGTATTAAAGTTCGTGAAGGAAACTTACTTTTTCATCTTCTCTTCCATGAGCTCATCCAATAACTTGTAAAATTGAGCAGGGTGAAGTGTCTTTGGCAATGGAGTCAGCCCTGGAGATGAAAATATCTCCAATCGAAACTCTGGTTTTTTAGTAAGGAAGCCATACTGTAGGTAAATGAAGAAAATCAGAAGTACTCATTAAAGACAAAATGGTATCAAATTTAAGAATATTGTTAAGAAGTAAGTATTATTTATTTTTATATTTCTACATTAGGTAGCAAGCTTAATGGATTTGATCTAATGATATTATTCAGTTCAAAACCTTCATTTGTTTTTTCAAAATTGTTTTAAGATCGCTTTGGATTAACTATTGTTTACTTTGAAAAATCAGAAAATTCGAGGAGGTACTGCTACAAGAAAGAGCAACGTTTGTGTAGGAAGGTGATTGGTGATCTCGCTTAACCGCCAGGTTTCTCCCTTAATTAATTTATAGAGGCTGCGTGTGCACCAGGAGTGTCTCCCGACCCCAGGGTCGATCCACGGCTGATGAAAAGGTTAATAGGCATCAGCCGAGCTCGAACCTCGGACTTTTAGCTTGGGAGAAATATATTGGTTCTAACAATTCTTTTTTTTTTTTAATTTCTTTATTGAGTATTATAACAATCTGTCTGTTGGACATTGGTTATAGTGAGGTAGGATGACATTCATACCATATGTACAAAAAGCTATAAGAGCTGATAAGAAGGTTGTCTCCTCAACTCCTCTCTCAGTTTTTACCAATTTTATAGCGGAATCTCTCTGATTATTCACGTGATACAGTTAAAGTGTATATCAGAGCAGTTGATATTTACTGTTGGCATCTTTTTTTTTTGATATTTTAAGAAAAAAAAAAAAAAAAAAATTTTTTTTTTTTTTATTTATTTATTTATTTATTTTTCTCTTATGATATGCGGTATGATCAGCAAGTGATGGCCAGTAAGGTGCCCAAGAGGTCTCGGTCAGACGGAGTTAGCTCACCAGCCAAACAAAGGACTCGTCGCTGCCTACGAGAAATACCTCCAGTGACCAAAATGAACACTTCAGAACCAGAACCTCAGCCCCAACCAGGTACGTCTGCACAAGAAACGATTGAAGAATCACCTTTCTTTACTCCAAATCCCTACCAAGTGCTTCAAAATGACAGAGAAGTAATGGAGTCTGCAGCAATACCCAGAGAACCAAAGCCTCCTCCGATATTTGTGAAAAATATAAAAAATTTCCAGATGTTCTGCACCCAACTAAATAAAATCTGCTCTGGCAGTTATTCATGCCTTAACAGGACCAATGACACCAAAATAACACCTGATTCTGCAGAAGCCTACCGAAAAATAGTGAAGTACTTATCAGAAACAAATGCGAATTTTCACACTTACCAGCTGAGGCAGGAAAGAGCTTTACGAGTAGTGATAAGAAATTTACATTCCTCAACCCCCACTGAAGTTATTAAAGAAGAACTAACGACGCTTGGTTTCAATGTACGCCAGGTAACAAACGTTTTGAAGGAGGACAGGGAGCAGCCAGGATTACGAAATAGGATCCCACTACCATTGTTTTTCGTGGACTTGGAGCCATCACCAGGTATCGAAAAAATATATGATATCACAAGAATATACTACACAATGGTGAAAGTTGAGAAGCCATATCCCAAGAGAGACATCGTGCAGTGCCATAATTGTCAGACCTATGGCCACACGAAGACATATTGCCACCATCTGCCGCGTTGTGTGAAGTGCGGTGAACAGCACAAATCTGTAGAGTGCACCAAACCTATACAAGATCCAGCAGTATGTGCCCTATGCTTGGAGGGACACCCGGCCAACTACAAAGGCTGCCAAATTTACAAGAATCTCAAAACCAGACACCAGAAAAACCGGATTCAAGATGAAGCACTAAGAACAAGAAGAGAGAGAGAGCCCTCCAGAATTGTAAACAATGATGTATCATTCTCCCAACTACTTAGAGGTAAGACTTTAACCGATAAATGTCAAGCCCTGCCACAACAACAACCTCAAACCCAACCTCAAAATCCTCTTCATCCTAATATACCTAATCACCAACAACAAATTCCTCATATTCCTCCTCCTTCAAATGCAACAGATCTCACAAGTTTGTTAGCATCTTTCCTCACCGATTTCAAATCCCTTGTTACTCCACTCATATCACTCCTCACGAATCTCGTATCTCACCTCATCCCTCCTTTGAAAAATCCTTAAATGACTCACATCCCTAAACCCATATCCATTCTCCTTTGGAATGCGAATGGTGTTAGAAATCATACAGACGAACTATCTACTTTACTACTTGACAAGAACATTGATGTGGCACTAATTACTGAAACTCGACTAACCACTAAACAGCACTTCAATATACCACAATACCTGACATATCGTACTGACCACCCTGACGGAAAAGCACATGCCGGTACTGCTGTAATTGTACACCAATCCCTCTCCCATCACGTACTCCCATTACCAATACATGATTTCCTACAGTCCACCGCTATCGTGATAAAAACCTTCTCCTTTCCGGTCACTCTTGCATCAGCGTATTGCCCTCCTAACCGATCCATATCCAATGCCCAATTCAGTTCTCTCCTCGACTCCTTAGGACATCACATCATCTTGGGTGCAGACCTAAATGCCAAGCACCAACAATGGGGTTCCAGAACCACGAATTCTCGTGGCCGAACCCTGCTGTCTGCACTCAATTCCCAACGTTTTCACCTCCTTTCCCCCAACTCTCCTACCTACTGGCCCACAGATCCCAACCGTAATCCTGATCTTCTTGATTTCTTTATCCACAGCGGCTTAAGTCCCCTCAATTGTTCCATTACACGTCTAAATGAACTTTCCTCTGACCATAGTCCTCTAATCCTTAATGTTTCACTTGAACCTGTTCCCAAACCTTCTCCACCGTCATTCATTAGGGGCCCAGTAAACTGGGACCTTTTCCGCCAAATAATCTCCGATAATATTGATCTCAACATATCCCTCAAAACTCCCGATGACCTTGATAGTGCCGTAAATTCCTTTACTACCACAATCCAACAAGCCGCCTGGACTGCCTCCTTTCCAAAAGACTCCTCCAGAATTCCTATAAAGACCATTCTACCCCAACACCTCCTTAACCTAATCCGCACCAAACGCCGTGCCAGATTATTATGGCAACGTACCCGACATCCTACCGACCGCTGCTCCTATAATTACTACTGCAAACAATTAAAACTGGAATTAGCCACCTTCAGATCACAATCCTTCAACTCCTACCTATCCTCCCTCTCTTCTCGCGACAATTCCCTTTGGAAAACCACAACAAAAATCCTAAATCCTCACCGCATTTCCCATCCTCTCCGACGAGGTGATGGCTCCTGGGCAGCATCTGACGAAGATAAAGCTGAGGAGTTCGCCATTCACCTATCCAATACATTTATTTCACATCCGGAATCCCATCCTGCCCACACCGTAACAGTAGAAGAACTCCTTACATCACCAATCCCACTTTCCTTGCCCCCAAAAGCTATTCATCCTTCCGAAGTAAAATTTCAATTAAAAAAACTAATCCTCCGTAAAGCTCCTGGACATGATCTCCTTACACCTCAAATCCTTCGACAACTTCCATCCAAAGCAGTCATATTCCTTACATATATCTACAATTGTATCCTACGCACCACCCACTTCCCTCTGTTATGGAAACACTCCACTATTATCCTTTTCCCAAAACCAGGAAAACCTCTCAATAGCTCAACATCCTATAGACCAATCAGCCTACTCCCAATCCTTTCAAAAATTTTTGAAAAGATCCTTTTGAAACGAATCCTACCCATTATAGAATCCCAAAATATCCCTTCCCATCAGTTTGGTTTTCGCTCTCAACATTCTACTGTTCAACAAGGACTCCGAGTTGTTGATCATATTTCCTCAGCCCTAGAAAACAAGGAATACTGTTCGGGTGCCTTTCTGGACATTGCACAGGCATTTGACCGGGTATGGCACTCCGGACTGCTCTCCAAGCTTAAAATCCAATTACCTCAGTCCTTGTACCTAGTCCTCCGATCCTACCTCTCTGACCGCTCCTTTCGAGTTCGCTGTGGAACAGAATTTTCCAATATCTACTCCGTTAAAGCCGGTGTTCCCCAAGGCAGCGTCTTGGGTCCCGTGCTTTACATCCTCTTTACTGCTGACATCCCTGTTCATCCCGATACTTTTCTTGCAACATTCGCTGACGATACCGCAATCTTATCATCCAACTCTGATCCCGAAATAGCATCCTTAAATCTCCAAAGTCACCTCACCTTGATTGAGCACTGGTGTAATAACTGGCGCATTAAAGTTAATGAATCTAAATGCCAACATATTACCTTTACACTCCGACGCAATTCCTGTCCACCAGTACTCTTTAATTCCATCCAGCTTCCTTATTCAGACACAGTCCGGTATCTTGGCTTTCATTTAGACCGAAGACTAACTTGGAACCCGCATACTAGACTCAAAAGACAAGAACTCAACCGACGATACGGCCAACTATACCGACTACTAAGCAGAAAATCTAAACTTTCCATTGAAAACAAGCTACTGATCTACAAGACAATACTGAAACCTATTTGGACTTACGGACTAGAACTGTGGGGATCAGCAAAATTTTCTAACATCAAGCGCATCCAATCCTTCCAGTCTAAAGTCCTTCGAACAATAGTCGATGCTCCTTTCTATGTATCCAACAAAACCCTACATCATGACCTTAACATCCCATTTGTCCTAGACCTTATCCCAGAAAAATTCTCCAAATTTCACCAGAACCTTACTTACCACCCAAATCCTCTTGCACAATCCCTATCAAGCATCTCCCATCCCTATAATCCTCCAAGAAGGTTGAAACGGCAGTGGCCTCGCGACCTTTTGTAGATTATATAAATTGGAGTTCTGGCAATGGCCAGATTCTTCACTCAAGACATGTGTGTATGTGGCTAAAGTGCTCTCGACCAATCTCCGTTGGCTTTAGTACCAGTGACGCGGTTGGAAGAGTAGCGCGGGGTTCTCCTGGAGTTCCCTCGCCTGATTGTATATAGGTATGCATGTTATTTATTTATTTTTTTCCTTAGTTTTAATTTTCTTATTTTTTAGGTTATTTTATTTTATTGTCTATTGTATATACTTTTGATTATTATTTTGTTCTATTTATTTTATTTTTTTGTACATATGGTATGAATGTCATCCTACCTCACTATAACCAATGTCCAACAGACAGATTGTTATAATACTCAATAAAGAAATTAAAAAACAATTCTTTAAATTTTTTTATTTATTTTTATTATTTGGAGAGATATACTCAAATATACAATTCAACACGAAAATCATTGCTGTTTATATTTAAGGCTAGGTTAAAATGTTATAGTACCGTACTATATGTCAAAATAGTCTCAGTTTAACTTAATTCCAATACACAAGATTCTGGTAGTTGAGTCATGTGTTTGCCCACATCTTGCAAGGTTCAGTCTTGTCTTCGTCTTGTAACATTCAGGCACAGTGGATCTTGGAATCTTGGACTTAGACAACTGCAAGACCAGTTTGGGCAACACAGGAACAGACAGAGTCACAGACGAAAGGAATTTTATCCATTTTTGAACTACCAATACCTGATGAAATTCAATGAAACTTTTTATTGGAACGCCATCAAGCACGGCTTGGCAAACTAATATTCAGCCATTTTACAGTGCTCATTTTTTGCACATACAGATAAGATATTTACAGGCTAGTTTCCTATCGAGTGTTAGGTCCAAAACTTGTGGTGGTTTGTCTAAAGTATTAGAAAACTGTTTTTATTAATTTGAATATATAATTCATCAACAGACATTATTCCCAATGAAGTGTGGTCATTATGTATATGTTTATGGTGTCCCATAATATGAGTTGGTTACTTGTATATCTCCTGGCAGTTAGGAGTTCTCAATAGATCATCGTTAATGAACTTTTATTTATACAGAATATTGAAAAATGGAAATAAAAAAAATCTAGTTAACAGGAGCAGATATGTAAAAGAATATTTTCGCCACTTTTAGCAGTTAATATCTCCCTGCATCGTTCCAATTTTAGTGTATGTGCCGCCGAAGGCTAAAACACTCTCACTCAATCTCCACTGGATTTAGCTCCAGTGACGCGGTTGAGAGAAAAGTGCAGGAATCTCCTGGAGTCATGCTTTTCCCTCCACAGTTGTAGGGACAAGTCTAGCTCGGAGTTCTCTCGCCTTTTTGTAAATAGTGTATACAAGTATGTATGTGTTCTATTTTAGATTATTTTATTTTTATTTATTGTATATGTTATTTTTCTGTATAATTTATTTTATTTATTCTACATATTATAAATGTACTTTGAGACAGAGTGTAATATTTGTCAATAAATAAGTTATTAAAAAAAATATATATATATCCCAAAACAGTGAATACTCCTTGGTTAAAATGTAAGTGAAAATATTGATGTTCTCTTAAGTCAATTGTTTTTATACTTTTGTTCTGTTCGAACTTAGCTTCTCCACAGAAATTACCGCCTTAGATATTATTTGATCTTCCAGAGCAAATCCGCCATCTCTAGTTCACATGAGTTTGTCTAATTCAAACTAAAGTTTATTTATTTAAAGTTTGTCTACTTCCGAGAAGTATATATTAAAAAATACTGTATGTTAGAAAACATGGTATAAGACATAAAAATACCTCATGCCCTTCAGTTTCACTGTATGGTCTTGTTGTTCGATTGTCTTCTATTTCAGTAACTGCTTCTTCCACAATTCTTCCCTCCTTTAATTGGGCTAGTTCTCGATTTATCGCTCTATCGTGGAAAGAAAAAAAAGTATATATATATATATATGGTTTCAGTTCAAAGATATTCATCTTACAATTTAGCACTATTCATCTTTTCTACTTTTAGCACACCAGTGAATTTTTAAAGTATTTTTGCATTAGAATATCTCATAAATTAAAAATCGGACCTGCATATTGTAAGCAAGGAAATGTTTAGAATTTTATTTTCTTCGTAATAAGCTATTATTCAAAATAGTATCTTAACGTGACGCCGTGTAAGAGAGGCAAAAATGGAAAAAGAGAACGAGTTTGGCTGAAGATATTGATTAAAATATATCAGAAATTGGCAAGTTAAATGCTTAGAATTTTATATTCTTCGTAGTGAGCTATTACTCAAAATAGCATCTTAATGCAACGCTTAGTTAGAAAGGGAAAAAATACAGTGCTTCACTAGTTTGCTTAAAGCACTGTATTTGCTTAAAGAGCCTCACAGTTAAGTACTTAACATAAAAACTAAAACAATTATTAACCTTATACTAACAGATTGAGGATTTAAGTAAATATATATATATATATATATATATATATATATATATATATATATTTTTTTTTTTTTTTTTTTTGTGGGGGGGAAGGGACTTTAAAAGGGGACATTATTAGTTTCTCCGTTGATTGCGTTGGAAGAGAAATAAAGAAATTATATAAAGTGATGTTTAAGGCTTTTTTTTTAAAAAAAAAAAGTAACAATGCTTTAATTTATTTTTCTTAACATGTGTTAATATCTAGCGATAGTAAGGTAATACAGGTATTAAGACACTACAAGATAAATTTTCAACACTAACATGAATCATATAATTAATTTTAAATTGTCAGCAAATTTAATCTTTATTGATTTTATTTTCTATAAAGTCAATTAGTTTATTATCCGTAGAAAAACGTACGGAATTCTGACAGCATATCTTGTACTAATAATTGGCACAATAATAGTAATTGGACAGGTTTAATGATCAACAGGTTTATATATTTGAAAAATTCAAAAATAAATTCTGCATAGTTTCAAACTAAGAAATGGCAAATTGTAGATGAACAAATCAGTATCATTCCAAATTTTCAAGCCTCTCCCTCAAAAAAGAAATAGTTTTAGGCTGGCAATCTATGTAGAATGGAGAGCCCACCGAACAATGTGGAGGAAACAAAAAAATCAATAACACACGGTCCTGTCTTGAATTCGTAGAGAAGAAGTTGCCTTAACTAAGGATAGGAGATACAAAAATACCACATTCTTTTCTGAAGTAAAAAGCCTACACTAAAATGCCAACATGCTCAAACAGTCAGCCACATTCTCCAAGAAAGTGCTTATCACGTATTAATTCTAATCAAATTAGGATTCGTACCAGAATTATCACCAGTTATATATAAGGACGAAATTAAAATAAGAAGGGTTATACATTTTCTTAAAGCTAACGCATTGCAAAACAAAATTAATTTAATTTTTTTTTTTTTTGGGTGGTAATTTATTATTGATATGAAAATTAGATAAGCGTTGATGACCTTGGGGTCTTACTCCTCTAAGCCATAAATAACAACAACTTCAATATTTCTAACTTATTTCATAAAGAAAATCGATAATGATATCTCTCTGAAGCAAACACTAAGGCTTGTTGCATTAAAAAAATGTACTCCCAACCATCCAGTGTGGCATATCACTTGAGGTTTTAGACATCACCCTCTCGAAGTGTTCATGTTGCAAATCTACTCATATTATCTATAGGTATAAAGCTTATTTATTGTTAACGAACTAAAAAAAGTCTATAATTAGTACGACATCTATGATTGGCATATTTATTTTATACGCATTATAATTTAAAAAAAATATTGAATGTTGTGATTTGTTTGTGTGTTTAGCTATGGGCAGTCTCAGAAACAAATGTGGGACAATGAAAAAAGAGGTTTTTTCTATTTTGTGAAGAGAGCTTTAGTCATGAAGAATTTCCTCAGTGGGTCCGCCAGTGAATCCTTATAAATTGCATGGGTACAAAATAAATTGAGTATACGTTTATTCATGAAAACTGATAAAAGCTAGCTTCAGAAAAAAAAATTGGAAACTAAATAAAGAGTTGAAATAATTAAAGTATTTTAATAAATACTTCAAAACAATGTTATCACGAACAATGGTCATGTGGACTCGGGTATCAAGACTATTCATATTATCGTAACTGTGTTATTGTCGTAACTAGATAAGCTGATTTTTAAAAATGCAGGCAATGAAACCTTTATGTAATTCACAGTTGTTTCCTTGCATATTTCTTTTCCATATCTGTCGACATGCATTCCTTAAGATAAATAATCAATTACTTAAATGGTTTATCAAAATAATTGCAGTTTACGATAATTTAAGTCAACCTAAATAAAATCAATTTTAATATTAATATTTAGACAGGGTGTCTCACTCCTTATTGGCAAAACTCTGTGTGAGAGAGAGTGAGGGGGGGGGGGAGAGTGATTCTAGAAATTACAACAACAAATTTTAAGAGTTAAAACCTCTTTTGTGTTTTTCTCAAAGTGGTCACGAATTTTATTATTCTTGAACTTTTATTCAACTTGTGCATGAAATCGTATTGTATAGGGATTAATAAATTCCCTTAATTTATATTCATAATCAATTAATTTAGGGTTTGAGATAGTAAACGACTAAGATATTGCTTTTGTCTTGATGTTGACAATTTAATATTTCTTTAAAATATACAGTTTTTAAAAGCCAAGCTGTGGAGAATGATTCAAGACAATATTGACATCAAAAAAGTTATTTTTAATGGTTTGGCCGATTCCGAACTATTGTTGCCCAAAATCGGTCTTCGTTTTGCACTTTGCAAGACCAAGGCCGCCTGACTGTTGCGAGACCAAAACCAGGACTGACAAAAAATAATCGGTTTTTTAAATAAACATTAACTAATACTCGAGTTACTATATGTTAATAACTGGTATAACCAATATACTTTTGCATTTAACTCCTTCATTTTTTCGTTCGGGCTTAGTTAGGTTTCTCCTATCTAAAAAAATACAGTAATATCTCTATATTAATAAGCTAATAAGTAACTGCAAGACTGTTGCGAGATTCTTGCGCAAGACCATGACCAAGACTGAGTTTACAAGACCAAGACTCCTCTCGAGCTCGCATTTGGGAAACATTCCGAACAGAAACGACCAATTTTGTGTTGTTTTGTTTTAAGTGGTCACGGATTTTATTAAATAAGAAGGAATTGCTCAAAATGTGTTCAAGATACTTAACTTTTAGTACACCATTGTAAAGTAGACATTTTTTTGATAAAAGAGTTATTAAATTTAGTAAGGTCAATGATAAAAGGGACTTTCAAGTGGCCTATTAACGCAGCATATCATATTCCAAATTATTTCATGTATCTGGATTACAGAGATAATTTCTACTCCGATATGGGTATTGTAACGCAATACAGCGACCTTATTAGACCTCCTGAAAGTCACTTTTATTATTGACCGTAATTATTATTTTTAATCGACTCAGATCAAAAAGGGCGAGGGACCTCCTACAATAAATAAATAAAATTAATTATTTTAAGCACTCTTTTTTCAACGAAAATAACTGTCTACTTTAAGATGGTGTACTTAGAATTTAATTATCTTAAACAGCTTTTGAGAAATTCCATCTCCAATTCCATTCCATACAATGAAATCCGTGACCACCTAAAAAAAACAACACAAAATTAGTCTAAACTCATTTTCCTTTCGGAATTTACCCATCCATCAAATAAACATTTTTATTGCAAATTTTATCTAGAATCACTCTCCACAGCTTGGCTATTATAAACTGTCAAACCCTGTGTATTCTAAAGAAATATTAAATTGTCAAAACCAATAAAAAAACAAATCAAAAGCAGTCTTCGTCGATTATTAACTCAAACCTAAATTAATTTATTAAGAATATAAATTGGGGAAATTTATTAATCCCTATGCAATACGATTTCATGCTCAAGTTGAATAAATGTTCAAGAAAAATAAAATTATGGTTAAGAAACTAAAACTAGTGTGAATGTCATCCTACCTCACTATAACCAATGTCCAAGAGACAGATTGTTATAATACTCAATAAAGAAATAAAAATAAAAGAAACTAAAAGAGTGTTTTCATAAAGAAATGGCTAATAGATAAGTTATACTACAAATATTACTAACTTTGTAAAAACAGATATACAAAAGTGTATATACTTGCTCCTTAAAACTTAGAGAATGGTTCAAAATTGGTAAACTTGTGTGATTTGTCTATAAAAAATTTGATATGAAGCATTATTATATTACAAAAATTTAAACAGAAAAATATATTATATTTTTTACTTTGACTTATATGCAATTACTTAATTGCGGTTGGAGAGTATTGAGATTGTAAAAATTTGGGCCGATCTAAAGGGACTGAGTTTAACGGTAAACGGTGGAGGTGTGTAAAAAGCGATTGGTGGTGTTGGCATCGAACCTTCGGGTTCACTAAGCCTTTTATTATTATTATTTATTATCACTCGGATGTTAAAGCAAATCTTTTCTTAAAATCGGCTAACCGGAAGTGCCACTTTATAATATTGATTTTACACGTATTTATGATATTTTCAAAAACGGCTCGAACGATTATGATTAAACTCGGTATATCATTGTACAATTAAATTGCCTTTGATATAAGGTAGGATTTATCTCCATTGATGTTGCTTAACTTGGCTTAAATGCAGAATTTTCAAAATTCCTTCCACTAAATTAATATTAATTCGGTTTATTTATTTTTATTTTTATTAATGAAATTTATAACTGTATTACATGATAAATACAACAAGTGAATATAAAACAAGTAACATGACATGAAGATAAAATAATCATCGGTAGCACTCCAATTATATTTCCAACTATATTAGAAGGTTCCGAGACCATCTTCTTTCCACACGCCTCAGAGATTATCAGGAATAGAGAGGAAGCAAGGTTGGAAACAAGAGGATTCGGATGATTCAGAAGTTTGTTATGGAAGAAAAGGTATCTGGGTTGATCTAAATCGGAAACATATGGTACATTAATGTCGTTATGGATAATTTTATTTGTGACAAAGTATGGAGCATTGAGGATTTTACGAAGGATTTTGGATTGTAGGGATGAGATACGAGAGGAATTTGATGGTTTAGTAGAGTCCCAAAGATCGATTCCGTAAGTCCATATAAGCCTAATTATAGTAGTATATATGAGTCTTTTATAAATAGCTGGAAGTTTAGAGCGTTTGTCTAGTAGTAGAGTGCTTCAGTAGTCGAAAATTTCGGACGGTTTCTAGTCGTTTCAGTCTGGTATGGGGGTTCCAAACTGTCACTTTTTTTAGTAATAATAAAAACAATACACAATATAAACCATGAAAGACTTTGATAACTGTCAATTGGAGAAAAAATGAAAAATGTTTTTTTAGGTCGAAAGTAATAATAAAATTCTTCACCATCTTTTTCCTCCAAACCGAGCCCCACTTAACATATCTTTGTTCAAAAATCCAACTTGAAGTTTAATTCTTTCCAAAAGCGGTTTTATTGTATTCATGTTTTTTCGAAAATATGGATTACAAATAAACATTTTTTTTTTTGTACATATTCATTTTGATATTAAATTTGGAACAGACGATATAGTTTTTCGCACATCTAAAAAAGTTGTCAATGAAGATAAGAATTCACTTTGAAAATAAAGTACTGTTACTTTGCTTACTTATTTTAAGTTTATTATTACTCATTATTATTACTTGTACTCGTCAAGTATCCAGCCCCATTTTCCCATCCATGCCCAGCTGGCCCTTTCTTCAGACTCGATGGCAGCTCGGAAGTTCTTGGCACCTTCAACTGTTATGCTATAGATATCTGGCAAACCCATCCTGTTAAACTTCCTTTTACTATCCGATCACTACAGCTAAGATAAGCATGGATAACAAGCATGGATTCGAAAATCGGTCTAAACGATAAACATATGATAATATTTAGAAACATATTCTTTCATAAATTATTAAAATATTTTTAGACGGATCACTGTTTCTTAGGTGACCGCGGTTTATCTTAAAGCAGACCCTAAACGGTAATTCATGAATGAACGTCACAAGAAGTTCCAAGATCGCCCGCTATAGCTTTGATCATGAAGACCCTTACACGTTCAATCATTGCTGGTCATTACTTATCGTTGCTGATTTAGGTTAGATCGTTGCTGACCAATTTAGCGCAGCTGTAAACAAAGAAACAGTATAGATATGCTTATTTGGACATTGTCATTTATAATATTGGGCATCAAGAGAAAAACGGAGATATAATAATTACTTCCTAGTGCCTGAAAATCGTTTAGACCAAAGTTAGTCCAAAATATAAGTCAACTACATACAAAAAGCTATGAAAAGTATTGCAAAAATAATCAATTTGTTAAGAAAAATGGAAAAATTAATGGCGAATAAACACAACAGTTAAAGATTTATTTTCTATAAGTAAATTGTGAAGTTTCCACTTTTTTTTCTCTCCAATTTATTGCCTACTTGACTATTTAAAGAAAAAAATAGTTGAAAATGGTTAATAATAATATAGACTAGGGATATAAACAACTATTTACTTTTATGAAATTATTTACTTAATAACGAGACCTAGGTAAACTAACCTATCTAGTAGTTAGGTTAGTCTCATAGAAAATCGTTTTGACAAAAGTTAGTAAAATATAAGTCGGTTACAAAAATTGAGGAAAGGTATTGCGAAAATAATAAATTTGTTGAGGAAAATGGGAAAAGAACTGATAAATATACACAACGTTAAAGTTTTCTTTTTCCTTTCAAGTAAATTGTGAAGTTTCCTCATTTTTTTTTTAATTTGTTGCCCACTTGACTATTTAAAAGAAATAGCTGAAGAAGGTTTAAAATTATAAACAAGGGATATGAAAAATTATTTAACTATTTACATATAATGAAAATCAGAAATTCATAATGGTTGTGAGGCCTAGGTAACCTAACCTATCCAGCAGTATGGTTAGTCTCCCCACTACTTTTACCTCTGTCCCCCCTCCACTTCTCGTGAATGAACCTTTGATTTCCGGATGTTCGGAAATCCACAGCGCACCACCATCAGTACTTCATTCACTACCTTACACGACAATTCGGAACGTCATTAGTGCAATTCCGATTGACCGTGTAGGGTCCCCATTACAGTTAAAGCCACTCTGTAAAAGCCAGTACACTTTTATTAGAACATGCGGCTTGTGAGATTTTCGGCTCAGTTTTGTCATTCTGCATATTCAAAAAAGCAAACCAAATACTTAACTCAATCAGTACATTGTTATCTTATCATTGCAGTCAAAATTAATAGCAAATGAAATTCATAAAATAAGTAATACGCGGTTTCATTGCATCTGACGAATAATTTTAGCTTTTGCATTCACTAGCTTTTGCAGTGTGATCGTCAAAATATTCTTCCATGTTTTGGGTATTGTGTTATTGTCCGTGATGCAGATCCCTTTTTATCGGATTATAAAAAATAAGTCTAAAACTTCGTAAATCTTATCTTAACCTACAATTTTTTACTCATAAAAGTTCTCAGAAATGGTGGTTTTTCCAATAAAATAATTAATTTAATGAAGTACCAAAAGCTCATGAATATTTTCTTTTAGCATGAATCGTAAGATAATTTGATTACATGACCTAAAAAAAAAAAAACCTTCAAATATATTAAGTCGTTTGGCCTATGTAAACACGTTAGATTTTTTGGGGTGGGGATCACGCCAAATAGCCCAATATATTTGTAGTACGCAAGCGGCGCCATAAAAAGTATTGAAGGACGCACATTTTGACTGGGTTTTGAATTTCGGAAGGGGGGGGGGGGATATTTCGACGGGGATATGAATTTTCGGAGAATAAAGTTTAAAGAGAAATAGGGGACACAGACGAATCTACGGGGGGGAGGAGGTGCTTTAGGGCTGAAGTCCCTCCCCTCCCCTCCCTCCCAAAAATACTAAAATGTAACCCTGTTTTAAGGAAGAAAATATTAAAAATTATCTCTTAGAGTATTATTGTTCGTGTAATTACATTTAATAGGACTTCAAATATCCCTTAAACACTATTTTATATTGGTAGTTAGTTTCTTTTCTTTTTTTCCAAAGTAATTATCGTATGAAAAAAAACCTATAGGGCTGAAGCAGCCCTCCCCCCCTCAAAAAAAAAAAAAATTAAATCCTGGATCCGATATTGCTAGAGGGAAAACATGGACAGACCGCAGAAAGTTTAATTGGGGTGCACAGCACCGTGCGTTGTCCGGAAACCTGATAACCTAAGTTTAAGATTAAAAAATGATTAAATTTTAAATCCTTGAACTTTTAAGTCTGCATAATCCCTCCACTTCGATATAATAATCGGTCCTCTTCCCCGGTCCGAGAAAAAAAAAATCATTTAGCCTAAAAGGCAAGGAAGAGGAGAAAAAGATAAAAATGCAAGTGTAATTGTATATGATCTATGATTTGTCTAATCCTACTTTCGCTTTCATTGTTTTTAAAAAGAGAAGAATAACACAATTTTTGGAGAGGAGGGATGGTTCATGCGCCAACGACCTTGTTGACAAAATACAATGCATAGCAGCAGAATCTTGTCAGGTGCTGATAAGATATTAATTATAGTAAAAGTTTTAACCGAAAATTTCATTAATTTTTGTACCCATTTCGAAGAAAGTCTTTTATAGAGAGTTTATCTAAGTATATCCTTATATTTCTGTTTGATTTGTCAGCAAATATTACTTCTCTATTTTATTATAGTATTTCTGAATTCTAATTAGTACATTTAGCACTCATGGAATTGACTATCCGGGAAAGAAGAAACTGGCATGTGTTAAATTTGCCACAGTCGACTTTCGCATGTTTCTTTATTAAGACTACTTGAACTTCCATCCTACGAAATTCACAATGTCTAAATGATGATTAAACAAAAAAAAAAAAAAAGCAGTTACAATTATATCTATAAGTACAGAAATAAACCTATCGCTTAAGTCAAAAAAGAATTTACTTGATAATGAACAAGCAGTCATAAATATTTTTTAATTCCTAAAATCAGTAAAATTACTACAATAGAGTTTACGATGAAAATTGTTGACAATGATCCTTCAAGGTAAACAGAAATAATAATTGAAAATTTTAGGATTGGTTGCTAGTAATAGTACTATTAATTATAAATAAGTGTTCGGAAATTTTAGTATTTATTTTATAAAAAAGCAAAATTACATTAGATAAATAGTTAGCATATTTTACATTCAGGCGCAAAATCTAGTGCCTTTATAGAGGAAAACGAATAACATACTATTGGGCCTCAGCCTAGCCTTGAACCCAGGGTTTATCGAATAGTAATTGTGCAACATGAATCATTGAGTCAACAGGATAGGAAACCCAGAGATAGGCCTTTGTCAGTCTTGAGCAGGCAGCAGGCCAAAATGCTACATTTTTCGGCTCTTTGTGCGTTGTGTTCAGTTCTCCTTATCGATAATGTATTGTCTTCCGACGCCGATCTCTTCTCTCAGGTAAACTATGTCGTCAGCAAGACTAACAGCTTTATGGCGCAAAATGGTCTCTCAGAATTGCCACTACCGGAATTCAAGGATAAAGGTTCCATTCACGAGCTCATGGTCTACAACACCAAAGTAGGAAACTTCTCGTCTGCCGAAGTCAAAGAGGTCCCCTGTATCAACATGACCATGATAGACGGTGCGAGGCAGTTCTCATTCGAAGTCGTATTGGGCCTAAATCCCGTTGAGATCAAGTACGATTTCTCTCTCGCCTTCGAGAACGTCATGTTCCCATTGGGAGGTAGGGTGAACGTTGAATCACACAAAAACTCCTACCAAGTCCTCGGGACTGTCCTCTTAAACCCAGACGGAAACTGTAAAGCGGTCATCGAGGAGTGCAAGTTCAAGGAAATGAAGGACTTTGAGGTGAACATCAAGCCCAAGCAAATATCCCTTTTAAAGCAAATCAAGAAGTATCTTCTAGACGTTATGGCGCATCATTATCTACCAAGGATCAACAACGGCCTTCGGAATCTTGTCCGAAAACCGGAATTCCAACAAGTATTTTCAAACCTAGTGTGCAGTAACATACAAAAATAAATTAAAAAAAAAACTGTGCAGCAAATACCTTAATAAAGACATTAAATTACGTCACTTATTTCCAAAGTGAATCTTTATAGATCTTTTCAGAAATCGAGATAGATATCGATTTATATCTAAAAACACCCAATGAATGGTACAATTATTTTTTACAATACAAAAACGAACTTAATTATTAGAAAAGTGATTTGTAAAAAATTTGATTTCCGTAATCGTTCTTTTATTTTTCAAGAAAATTTTATAGTACTCATAAGAAAACAGTAAATAAAATTTGAAACAATCTTAAACAAAAACACCAAAACAAATTTTTATTCAACGAATATTAAAAATAAGTAAATTTTATGAAACCATTATTGTATGAAAAAAATTCATTTTTTGTAGTAACTTTTTATCAAGAATTATATATCAGTTTTTAACTTTTCAAAATCTGGCCTTAAAAATTAATTATTTTTAAAAGTGGCCTTACTCAAGTACCAATATCCTTTTAATACTTTAGAAATAATCAGTGATTTTTGAAAATATGTGTTATTAAATAATATTGGTTTTGATATTACAACTGGAAAATAAAATATAGTTTTTTGCGTTCCCTGAAAACTTTTCAATGATGACCAGATTTCACTTTGGAAATAAACGATACAAATAATATTTAAATCAATGAATTAATATTACAAAGGGACATAGATTAATTTTTTACATCATTATTCATTCATATATTTTTTTTTTATTTATTCTTATATTTAGATTAATTTATGAAGATTTATATTTTATGTTTAACAGCCGATTAATGTTAAGTAAAATTATTTTGATTAATTTTCATTAAAATGAGTGCTTTGATTTTTTTATTT